GCGGCTGGTGTCCCCCTTCCATGGAGACAACTCTACCTCTCTCCATCACATATTCATCGCTATGGCGGAGTCTAGTTTAGTGAGATTTACCTCTTCGCAACTTGGTGAATTAATGGGAATGCTGTTCCAATTCTACATAGTTCACGCTCCAGTTATAGGTAAAGCTAGCCACTATTATCCCTTTAACTATAGGAAAGCTATTCATGGCTAACCTTGCAATATTTACATGACTAGCCGCCATGCACATTATTATTTTCTCACACAAAAGGACATAATTATTGGTCGGCGATAACCCTAACTCATAACATAAATCTTCTATGCTTTAGTGTTAATAGGTATCGCTGACCAATGATGCTTGGTTTGGGACAACGCTATCGCAGCACACATCTATATCACTTATTCATGGTCTTGGCATCATGCCAACTATATATAACAATATTATACAAGTATTCACCATGACTAGCAGACAAAAGGGCGTAGCCAAATATTCATTCACATTGCCACCTTAATACATAAGGGAGTACCCTTCTTTGTTGCACATATCCATATATTTAACACTTAAATATTTGAATATATACTCATTCGCATCTTGCTTTCATTGTAGATGAACATAAGCCCATGAATCCAAGCTCATGGGAACTACTTGAGATAAACTATGGGAGTGGTGGCTTGGTAGGCATGGATGGGTGAATGCTGCTTATCTGGCGAAGCAAGGTATTCGTGCCAGCGAAGTTTGCCGCTAGTAATGTTGGTCGACTTCGCTAGAAAAGGCTTGGTGGCGAAGACGTGTAAAAAGACTTGATCTCTATAATTTTATTTTTTGATGCTAACTAGAAACTTGAGATCTCATTGAAAACTAACTAAAGATGTTGTTTTAGTCACCATCAGCAACTTGCAGTCATATTCAATGCAAAGGTCGCTGCACAAGTTCCATGGCCTTCGAGATTGTTGAAAAAGATGGCATTTTGCTTGGAGACTTTTCCAAAATCCTAGGCAGATTTTATGTTTGCCGGCTACACTTGATTATCTTCCCAAAAATGGAATTTCGTATGGCTAGAGGAATTGCCAAAAGCAGTCAATTTCCAATCCTTCGCTAAAATCAACAAAACTTCGTTGGAACCACTAGATAATTCATAATACCACTGCTAGAGAACTATCAGTAGTGTCCAGAGCTACTAAAAACTTGACAGATCATCTAAACCTACTAGTTAGCCACCACACACCTCTGGCCGATTAACCTGAAAATTACAAAAATATCACTGCACATGTATATATTATTCTTCCTTTATTTTTCAGCAGACAACAACGGATTTTTTAGCAACTCCAGCTTCTTTCTCCACGCACCAGACCTCCATTATCTCTCTAAAAAAAGTCCTCATCTTCAACCTCTCACCATATACACCAAAATCACCTAGAAATTATCATTTTCTCAATTTTTTTGCACTTCCAACATTGCAGAGTGGTTTCCTAACTTGAAACACATCATGATTTAGTTTCAGTTCCTAGGTAATTTTTCTTGAGCATTAGAGGATCAAGTTGCAAGGTTAGCATAAAAAACGAGATCAAGCATTCCACTCACAAGCCCCCAAGTGATCATCTTTCTTTCTCCATCACCACTTTTAAGTTTATTCTTTTTGCTCTTGAAAGAGCTTCAAGAAAGGAATCGTTGTGTTTTTCATTCACAATATGAGGGCTATTCGTTATAGAGTGAAGATATTTACTAGAGATAGTAGATGACACATTTATTGTCATTATTATTATGTTACAATATTTTATATATAAATGTGCTTCTCAAGTTGTAACTCTTGACCCTCATGTGTTTTTTGTCCTTATTGCTTCTACAACAATGTACACCTTCTTTGCACTATTTTTGGTAGTTGTGTAATCATCCCTAGCCCTTGAAACTCCATTGTCATTGCTCAACTCTCTCGACTTGGCTGAAACATTTGAACTTTCAAACTTCGCTAGAGAGTTTGCTATTGGATATTATCACTGGACATCTTCACTAGACAAAACGAGACGGCCCGTAACATGTACCCTTTGCACGTGAAATGGGTACTCCCAAAAGGACCCTCCTCATTTTCTCGGGTGGCATCCTAGTAAGCTCTCATGTTATCTTCACCACTAACTCACAAACCACATCACTAGCACACCCCAACAACTAAAAATATATATATATATATA